TGTACCAGTCTGGCCCACACTCTCCATAAGGCCCACCAAACGGACTAAAGCGTCCTGAAGCACTAGGGTGGCGATGAACCCCTCCGGGACCTAAGTTGGTCCGACAGGAACAGTCTGGGGTAGAACCTCCTTGTCAAACTCTACATGAGGCTCCACTACTGGTGCTGCTGCTTGAGCTCTGGGCTGAGCTATGGCCCTACCTCGGCCTCTAGCACGGCCTAGACCTCTGCCCCTCGTAGGAGCTGCCACTGGGGGCTTTGGCTGCTGCTCAGCTGAAGATGCAGTACGTGTTCTCGCCATCTATGAGAGAACAAGAGTAGAAGAGTTCAATTAGCAATGAGAGAACAAAATCGCACGACAGAGAAGAATATAAGTGAAATTTGTTCCTAAACTTCATAGCCTCTAGAAGATAAGTATAGGCGTCTCCGTACTGATCCTCCAGACTCTACTAAGCCGGTTCGTAACTAGTGAGACCTAGGCAACCTAGTGCTCTGATACCAACATTTCACTTACTAGGCAAGCCAGTGTTAGAGGATTCTTTAAACCAATTTTAGTCAATTTCAATAACATAATCAATTAAAATCAATAGAAGCTAAACCTAAAATGCAGAATAACTCAAAAGTCATAATATCTGATACAATTCGGATATGGAGTCACAACTCACGAGCTTCTAAGATTTTCTACAAATAGAGTCTTAAAGAAATACAACTGTTCTGAATGAAAAGAAACAGTAAAATAGGGGAGATAGAAGGGGACTCCAAGGTCTGCGGATGCTAGCAGATCTACCTTCAGTCTCCAATAAGAAAGTCCAGGCTGCTAAGCCTCACGATCAGCTAGGACCGGTACCAAAATCTGCACAAAAAGTGCAGAGTGTAGTATGAGTACAACCGACCCCATATACTTATAAGTGTCGAGCCTAACCTCGACGAAGTAGTGACGAGGCTATGACAAGACACCTACATAATAAACCTGTGTAGATAACAGTATATGTACAAGAAAAATAACGATAACAGCTAAACATGTATTATTGGGAGGAGGACACGATAAAGGGGCACAAGATATAAGAGATACAATGGAAATGATAACCAGAACAGTCAACATGCTTTTAACCAGTGAAAATAACTAAACACAATGAAGAAAATTGCACGGTATCACCCTCCGTGCTTTTACTCTCAGCCTCACAATGAAAAACAATAGATACGACACGACATCACCCTTTGTGCATTAATTCTCATAACATAGCACGACATCACCCTTCATGCATTCACACTCACAATATGGCACGGCATCACCTTTCGTGCATTAACACTCACAATATGGCACGGCATCACCTTTCGTGCATTAACACTCACAATATGGCACGGCATCACCTTTCGTGCATTAACACTCACAATATGGCACGGCATCACCTTTCGTGCATTAACACTCACAATATGGCACGGCATCACCTTTCGTGCATTAACACTCACAATATGGCACGACATCACCCTTCATGCATTAACACTCTCCCTTACCACATAACAATGAACAAGTAATAGCAGGGAGATATAATCAACAAGAACAAGCCTTACTTCAACAATGGTTCCACAATACCAATCTCAACTTTGGAATCAATGCTCAATTATCACAAAAGATCGTAAACACGATAAGGACGATCTATTTAGTAATTAACTAGTCTAAGCATGGATAACAAGATCAAAGTAAGCAATAAACTACAAGGAACAAGTCCTACCCGCATGCTTTAACCCGACAACAACGCATAAGTACTCATCACCTCACATATACATTGTTCCCAACATCTAAACATGTAGCATATAGACAAACAAGTCCTAATCCCTCAAGTCAAGGTTAACCACGACACTTAGCTCGCTCCAAAGGTCCACTCAAATCTCAATCCCAGCTATGCCTTTCAAACAAGCCTCCAAGCAAATAGAATCTAGCAAATTACCAACCAAATGATTCAAATTAAGCCCTGGGAACTACCCACAATTGCAAAGGATTCAATTTAGGTCATTATTGAAAAAGTCAACAAAAGTCAACCCCCGGGCTCGCTTGGTCCAATCATGAAATTCGGAACAAAACCCAATTACCCATTCACCCTCGAGCCCAGTTATGTAATTTGTTTTGGAATCCGACCTCAATTTGAGGTCTAAAACCCCATTTTATACAAATCCCTAATTCTACCCAAACCCCCAATTTCCACCATGAAAACACTAGATTTTAGTTTGAAATCTTAGGAAATGTAGTGAAAGATTGAAGGAAACTAGTTTAGAATCACTTACCAATGATTTGGGGAAGAAAGGTTCTTTGAAAAATTGCCTCTAGGGTTTCTTGTTTTGAATGTTTGAGAGAATGAACCCAAAATCCCGTCTAAGTCCCATTTGATCAGTTGCATATGTCGCATTTGCGATCTAAGGTTCGCAAATGTGAACCCTGCAAATGCGAAGAAACCATCTCAAATGCAAAGTCCTTCCCATCTCTGCTTTCATCGTAAATGCAAAGTATTGTTTACAAATGCGAATTCTGGACTCCTCACAATTGCGACCTCCTAATCGCAAATGCGAACTCTTGCTGAGCCAGGTAGTCTTCGCATATGCAAAGAATTTGCTCGCAAATGCGAGCCTGGCAAGATTTGGGATGTTCGCAAATGCAAACACTGATCTCGCAATTGTGAGATCAGAGACCAGTACCAGAAATTGTAGAACACCAGTTGAGTTCTAAGTCTAAACCACTCCGTAGCTTATCCGAAACTCACACGAGCCCTCGGGACTCTAAACCAAATATGCAAACAAGTCTAAAAATATCATATGAACTTGCTCGCGCGATCAAATTGCCAAAGTAACACTTAGAACTATAATTTTAGCATCAAATCAAAGGAAATTTCAATAAAACTCATGAACTTCTAATTTCACGGCTCGTCGAGTTGATCTCGGCGTGGCCTTCTTCCACCACCGATCTCATAATTTGTATGACTTCTCCCGAGTTGAACTCGTCATCTTCGACCGATGACTCCCAAGTTAGCGAGGGCATCGACCTCGCTGTTTTGATCACGAGGTACATGTTGCAAAGTCCATTCTTTGAACCGATGTAATGTCACTTATAATTTGTCCAAGTATCTTTGCATTCGTTCCTCTCTGACCTCGAATGTTTCACTTAATTGGTTTACCACAAGGAGGGAGTCGCACTTGGCTTCGATCACCTCTTCCCCCAAGCTCTTGGCTAGTTCAAGGGCCAACAATCAGGACCTCATATTCGGCCTCGTTGTTAGTTAATTTCATAGCCTTAATAGATTGTGTAATTATATTACCTGTTGGTGGCTTTAGTACGATGCAAAGTTCAGACCCTTTTGCATTTGAGGCACCCTCAGTGAAGAGGGTCCAAATTCCCGAGGAAGTTCCTGAGTTAACCAATAACTCTCTTTCAACCTCGGGTATTAGGGCCGCTATAAAGTCGGCCACAAAGTCTGCCAAAATTTGAGACTTAATGGCCGTCCGAGGTCGATACTCAATATCGTACCCACTTATTTCTATAGCCTATTTGGCCAGTCGGCCCGAGAGTTTGAGATTATGCATAACGTTCCTCAATAGGTAAGTAGTTACGACAGCTATGAGGTGACATTAGAAGTATGGTTTTAGCTTCCTAGAGGCGCTTAACAAAGCGAGCGCCAGTTTTTCCAGGTGAGGGTACCTAGTTTCAGCCTCACCTAAGGTCCTACTAACATAGTAAATTGGAAATTGCATACCTTGCTCTTCCCGAACTAGTACTCCACTTACCGCTATCTCCAAGACCGCCAAGTACAATTACAATTGTTCGTCTGTCTTCGGTGTGTGAAGTAGGGGCAGGCTTGATAAATATCTCTTAAGTCCCTCCAAAGCTCGTTGGCATTCTGGGGTCTACGAGAAGTTATTCTTCTTCTTCAATAGTGCAAAGAATCAGTGTCTCTTGTCGGACGACCTCGAAATAAATCGCCCCAGGGTGGCTATTCGCCCGGTTAACCTTTGCACAGCCTTTACATTATCCATGGCTGTGATATCTTTGATGGCTTTGATTTTATTGGGATTAATCTTGATTCCCCGATTGGATAACATGAATCTTAGGAACTTACCTGACCCAACTCCAAACGCATAATTTTCTGGGTTCAGCTTCATATTGTATTGCTTCAGTATGTTGAAGGTTTCCTACAAATGTTTTAAATGGTGCTCTGCTCGTAGGGACTTAACTAATATGTCATCAATGTAAGCTTCCATTGATTTTCCTATTTGTTCCTCGAACATCCGATTTACTAGGCATTGGTAAGTAGCACCGGCATTGCGTTATAACAGTATGTGTTGTATTTACTGATGAAAGAAGTTTTTTCCTGATCACCTAGGTCCATTCGTATTTGGTTGTACTCGAAATAGGCATCGAGAAAACTGAGGATCTCGTGGCCAGCCATGGCATCGATTATACCGTCGATGTTGGGCAAAGAAAAAGAGTCTTTGGGGCATGCCTTATTCAAATCTTTGTAGTCTACACACATTCTTAGTTTATTCCCTTTTTTAGGGACTACCACTATGTTTGCTAACCAATCCGGGTATTTAACCTGCCGAATAGACCCTATTTTAAGAAGTTTAGATACCTCATCGTTGATGAAAGGATGCTTGATCTCGGACTGGGGTCTCCTATTCTGTTTAACCAGGTGAAATTTTGGTCCAGGCTTAGCTTGTGAGTGGTTATCTTCGGCGCGATTCCTGTCATATCGAGGTGGGACCAAGCAAAACAATCTTCGTTAGTTTTAAGAAATTGAATGAGTCTTTTTCCTAAGCTCGAAGCTTAGCCCTGTGCCAAGGTATACCTTTCGATCGGGCAAGCTTTCTTGTAATATGACTTATTCCATCTCCTCAACCATCGATTTAGTGGCGCGGATTCATCGGGGGCTATAAAGATCTGGGAACCCCATAATTATCATCCTCGACTTCCTTGTGTTTGTCCGAATCTGCCAAAAATGGTACCAGTGATTGCTATTTGGCCCCGTTTTTTACCATCTTGTTTGGGCCCTTCGATGTTGAAACTGTAGATGACGGTATCACCTCCTCGGCCGCGAACATTTCCTTCGTAGCTGGCTGTTCTCTGTAGATTGTTTTGGCTCCGTCAGGTGTTGGGAATTTCAGTTCCTGGTGTAGTGTCGAGGGCACCTCCCTCATGTTTTGGATCCATATCCTCCTAAATAAAGCATTATACCTCATGTCCCCTTCGATCACATAAAATTTAGTCTCCTGGATGGTCCCAGCGGAGTTTATGGGTAACGTTATTTCACCCTTAGTGGCCTCACATGCCATGTTGAATCCATTCAGAATTCGAACTGCAAGCACGATTTGGTCTTGTAGACCGAGCTGCTCCGCGACCCTTGATTGAATGATGTTGGTTGAGCTACCTAGACCAAATAACACACGTTTAACACAGATTGTATTTACGAGTACAGATATTACCAGTGCATCATTATGGGGCTGCATGATCCCTTCCGCATCCTCGTCGTTGAAATATAAAGTTCCCTCCGATATGTAGTCTCAAGTTCGTTTCTCCCTAGTGATGGATACTTTGGTGCATTTAAACATCATCCCCTGTGGGATATCAACCCCTCCGATGATCATGTTAATGACGTGTTGAGGTTCTTCTTGTTCTTCCTTTCTGTTAGAATCCCTGTTTCTCAAATGATTCTTGGCTCAGTCGCTCAAGAACTCCCGAAGGTGCCCATTGTTGAATAGACGGGCTACTTCCTCTCTCAACTGTTGACAATCTTTCATTCTATGACCGTGAGTGCCATGATATTTTCACATCTGGTTAGGATCCCTTCGGGTTAGATCGGACTGTAGAGGTCGAGGCCATTTGGTATCTTTGATGTGCCCGATAGCTGATACAATGGTGGCAACATCGACATTGAAGTTATATTCCAATAGCCTCGATGCGTCTTTGGACCCGTCGAAGCCATTTTTGGTCATAAGTCCCCGGGTGCTTTGACCTCAGTCATTTCCCCTTTCATTTCTCATAGAGTTTCGCCCGAACCCGCTGCTTCTCCTATCTCTGTTATACGACTGATACTGATCCCTGTTTGGCCTCGTATCGCGATCGATATCTCTCTCGACTCTGTCAAAGGTTCTGCTGGGATAGACAGACCCTGAAGTGGCCTTGAGTTGATCATCTTCGACTCTGATTTTCGAATGATACCGGTTATGCACGTCGGCCCTTGTAACAACCAGGTATTCTATTAAGTTCTACTTTAGCTGCAGTGAAGCCACCGGGCTTTGAATATTAAGTCCCTGAGTGAAAGCTTGAACAGCCCAATCATCAGCGACCGGCGGCAGATCCATTCGTTCAATTTGAAACCGAGACACGAACTCTCTGTGCATCTCGTTATCCTTATGTTTGACTTTGAAAAGGTCTAATTTCCAAGTCTCGACCTTGATGGCACCTGCACGTGCTTTTATGAAAAAATCTGCAAGCATAGCAAATGAGTCAATAGAACTAGGAGGTAAATTGTGATACCACATCATAGCTCTCTTCAACAGGGTCTCCCCAAATATTTTCAACATAAGAGACTCGATCTCATCATCCTCCAGGTCATTCCCTTTGATAGCACATGTATAAGAGGTTACATGCTCGTTTGGGTCGGTCTTTCCGTTATACTTGAGTATTATGGGCATACGAAACTTCATTGGGGACCGGCTTCGGAGCCGCGCTCGGTGGAAAAGGTTCTTGTATGAACTTCCTGGTATCCAGGACCTTAAATATCGGAGGTACTCCTGGGATTTGGTCTAACCTGGAATTGTAGGTTTCCACCTTTTTGTCGTTAGCCTCGATCTTCTTCTCCCCTGATTCTATACGTTTTGTCAGCTCCTTGTGCATTTTTATGATCTCGGGGTTAGCCCTCGATTTATGTTCGTTCGAACTTCTATGACCGGTTCATCCCTGCGGGTGACTTCCCGGGGAGGATCGGGCTCAACCCTGCTCGGTGCACGACTTTGGTTCTGTAACTGAGCTATCGCCGAATGTTGAGCCTGCAACATTTTGAAGATCACTCGTAGACTGATCCCGTCTCCTTCAACATTTTATGTGTATTGACTTGCCAATCGGGCTCCACCACGAACGCTATTTTTGGGGTCGATAGGCAAGTATGCATCGATAGCCATATGCGAATTAGTGTCAATCGGAATTGTGATGGGAATTCCAGCGGGATCAGCAGGTGGTATCTCATTACTGGGCGCTATGTTGTTATTTTTACCTTGGTGGCCAGACTAGTTGTCAACATGTAAAGGTGCTGATTGAGAGTTTGAATTTTTTGTATTTTAGCCTAGAATCAAAGACACTTCAAAGAGCAAGCGTAAAGCAGTGTGTGTTATGGAGATTTATATCAAATAACCACTATTATCCTTAGCCCCACGATGGGCGCCAAACTGTTTACCCTCAAAATCGGATAACAATTGAATTTATACGTGATTTTAAGGATATGTGATCAAACTTGATACGAAATGAGAAATCAGATTCAAATTGAAATTAATGATAAAAAAGTAAATGTAAACCACATAGGTTGAACAATCTCGGCCTTGAAGGTTGGTCACCCTAGAGTCAAAGATGTTGCAATCAATGCCAGAATAGAGTGATGAGATAATAATGACTGGAAATAACATTTTACTGCTTTGGGGTGTATGTTACAATGTACTTTACAAATAATCAGACCCCCTTTATAAAGTAGAAGAGCCCTACTTTGGGTACAATTTTATATAAGGTAAAAAACCTCACGATTTGATAATTAATCGGTTTCATTGATACGTGGTGAGATTCACGCCGTGATATCCGAATGGTTACAGATATTTTGGCTTTCCGTTATTTTGGTTCGATAATGTTTTCTCGAGCTAATTTGGAGTCGTGGTCAGTTCCGGGGTTATGGGCTCAATAATCTTGAAGACGCATGTTCTAACCTCGTGCCTAGGTTTAATGGAATCCAGGGTCGATCTTCAATCCATTATATCCCCGATCTGTCATGCAATAGATGAGCTCGGTTTTTACCGTATATAATAACAGTAAACTTATAAGAGCTATGAAAGGAAGGAATGGACTGATAGTTTTGGTCCTGAAAGAGATTAGGCCCAACAGAAAGTGAAAACAAACAACAACAACTCCTATGACTCCAAGGTTCAGGCAAGCATTTGGGCCTGAGTCCTTTTACAACTTGGCAAGGCCCAACTCAAACACATGCGAAAAAAAGAAAGAAGATTATTAGATACACATCCCAATGTCATACTTAAATACATTTAGGATCAATATAAGTCCCAAAACAGAACTGTAACAGATACTACTAATCACGAATGCAATGAAATTAATGTAAGATCAAAGAGAGTCAAAAAATTAACATTTAAGCCTTTTCTTTCAATTAACATTAACCCAAAATAGATTAATAAGTTTCAATGGTTAAAAGCTTATGGTAAAATTCCATTAATGGCCAAGACACCATTTGGATCTCTCGCACTTCAGAGTTCACAAAGGTCTCAAGGACCCCGAGCAGTGCTCGTGTCAGGGATGGCATCTCTACCACAAACTAAACCTTACTCCAAAATACCCTTAACCACTCACACTTACTCTTCTCTATAGGTTTAAATTCCAATGAGGCTCTCACTGTAACTCCAGAACAGTAATAATAAGACAAAGATATATACAATTCTCACAGAGATTATACAGAATACTACTATGAATATGAGATAACAAATAACACCATAGGGATCACAGTCCAAATACCAGGGTGTAGTACACTGTCAATATCCTCAACATACTTAAGAATACTCAAAGAAACCAATAACAGGTACAACCAAAGAGAGGGAACACCAGTAGGTTATTTAGGAATCCAAACATTAAGTCATATGATTAAGGAGTATGGAGACACATGCATCTACCGATAACTTCAAATTTACAAGAGTCCCTACTCATAATACCTTGATAACTTATTAGACTATGTTTGAATTAATCACGGATTCATTCATAGACTGTCTTAACTTCTACTAGTAGCATGAGTTAACAACCTTATTCAGAATATTTAGAGCATATTAACAAGGATACCTAAGCAAGAAAATTAATCTTTACTTAAGAAGATGACATGATTAATAACCTCTCATTCATACTAGGTTCATTAGGAGTGAAAACACTCATGTAAACACACGGTAATTTTCTGACAGGGTAGACATGCATCAAGAGCTTCCCTTAAGTCTATAGGTGAACCACAGTTAACTTATGTAGGCTTAGCAAGGATCAGTTTCCCTTATGAGAACATGGGCATGGGTATGAGAGGTGAGCATGAAGTTTTTTAATAACATGAATGAGTATAGAAAACCAGGAGAAGACAATTCAACATATACAAAAGATATACTTAAGGAATGCAAGACCACAACATGGTAGAGTGTCAAACAACATAGGGTCAGACCAACAAGTTCACTACATAAGTCTGGGACAAGAAAGGCTTCACATGAAATAAGCATGGTTCTAGTAGCATGACAATTAATCCAGCTAAATAGATGGATGTATTAGTCCAAAACATAATGAAGTTTAGTTTAACATGAAAAATTCAAGAGATGATACACAACAACTAAACTTCCTAATCAAATTCTGTTTCTTAATCAGATCCTTGAAGACAATCTAAGATGCTTGGTCTAAGTAAACAACAACAGTCAGAGTTCATATAAGATTAATTGTAGCAATTCATTAGAACTTAGTTTGGTTATATTCATAGGCAAACTTATACAGCGGAGCTCACAGGTATAATCAAATAGTCATGAAGGCTAACCGAAATTCATTACAATGGTCTTTCAAGAGCTGTAGAGTCACATAAAATGCATTGGAAGAGAGAAAACGATCCAAACAAAGTTAAATTGATATATTTCAACTGAATGACAGCCCTATAGTTAACCTTAAGTGTTCATATCCTATTTTAACTTTGGTTTATCAAATAAGCAACCCCAAGTGCATGATACAAATCAACATGTAACACCAAGGTAAAGATCAATAGAATAAACATGAGAACTATAGCAGAATTATCAGGAAAATATAAAGTTAGAACAAGTGTATAGAACCGTTGAGGCTTTTTATCGAGCTACATAAGTTTTAATTAACACACAGATTGTTTGACTCAAAGAGCATTCACTTAGCTTGCAAGAGTAGTCGATTAGTGTTCACATAGCTTCAAGATATTAAGAGAAAGTGTCGGCTCGTATGCAAAGCATGATTATCATACACATCATGGACATACACAATAATTTGAGAACAACAAGGTAGACATAATTTAAACCAAAACGATTAAAATAAAAGAAAAGTCGAAGTACACTGACCTTTCGTTGAGTAGCAAACCAAATGAGGATTCTTCTTAGCCATTTAAGAACCAAAGGTCAAACAGCTACCAATGAATTGAACTCAAAATCGGAAAGAGGGAAAGATGAAGTATCAGTTAGAACCTAGAGTTTCTGATAGACTCTGTAGACTATTGAATACTTGTACTAGGTTGTGTATTGATGTCTTTCTTAGGTTGTTAGATGTTGTTAGGTGAGAAAAATTAAGGCTACTATTTATAGTTACTTCAAGCCTTAGGGATTCGGTAGATTCAAATAGTGGTAATGGAGAGTGACGACTACTAGATAATGCAAGCAAAGACGGTTGAAAATTTAAGAAACGGCGGGAAAACATTGAGGATTTTACATGAGAGGAGAGAGGTTGACCATTGAAGGCAAAGACCCATTGGGTAAAGCTCTAAAACCCAGAGGTCACACGGCACTACGTTTGACCTCTGGGTGTCGAATGCTCATGATGAATCTCTGAAAGAACTCCATGCATGCTCCGATTTGATGGAGCATAAGAGATATTGAACAATTTAAAGTTTCACTCTTTGGCTATGGTTTTTAGATTTGGGATTTTTGAATTCTATCAATGGAATTGGAAATGAATTGGTAGAATTCGCGGCATAGGGACAAGATGGGTTGATTGCCGTTTGATTTCGTCGACCTTGCACAAATTTATGCAAGGTCTCATGGCTGATGGTGAGTGAAGCAGAGGAGAGAGAAAATAACGTTTAGGGAAAGGGGGCAGTTGGTCCAGGAGGTAAATGATTAGGGTTTGGGGTAACTAGGACGATCTCTGAGGTGAAGATTGAGGGAAGCAATTCGG